GCTGACAGGACCGGCATAAAAATCTCACTTTTTCTTTCAACTATGGCTTTGTGTGACAGGGCACCTGCCCTGCACTGGCCCTTTAAGACCAGGACTCAGGCCCTGAGACGGGGCTAGAAAGAAAGAGGCCAGCTGGAGCTATTTGGGGCTAGGCAGAGCCCAGCTGGCAAGCAACTATCTAGGGCAGTACAATTGGCTTGGGGAAGCCAGCTGAACCCATTAGGGGAGTGAGCCCAGCTGGCAGGTATATATAGAGAAGCACAGGTGGCTTAGGAGAGGCCAGTGGAGGGCTGACTGCAGAGTGAGCAGGATCGGAAGGAGAAGGACTGGAGCAGGGTGCTCTTACCCAGCGGTTGCCAGTGGCTCCAGGAGGGGCTGGGGGGAAGGTGGAGGTGAGTTGGCGCCACCCGGAGACTGCCGGCTGAGGGGACGCTGGCCTGGAGATCGCAGCCAGCTGGACAAGTCCAGGGGAAGGAAGCCCGGGGATCCAGGTAGGAAGTGGCCCAGGGTAGGAGCGGGAGCTGGCCTGAGAACCTCGGTGTGTTTTGGCTGGATGGCCCTGCCGAGGGAGTGACCCGTTACCTGGTTGCTCACAGGGCCCTGGGCTGGGGCCTGGTGGAGTAGGGTGAGCCCGGGTTCCCCTACCTGGGGTGTGCCCTGTTACAACAGTTAGAAACTGCTTTGTGGACTTGGCCTTGCTTAAAGGGCCAGTTATATACTGCTGTGTGCCTATGATGAGCAACCCATACAGACTGTAACTTGCCCTGAGAGGGGCTATGAGGACAGTCAAGGGGCACTGAGGCACATTGGGGGTGTCCACCCCTTATACTTTGCCACAAGCCTCTTGCATCAGACAGTGCACTGTTCTGTACCCTCAGAACAGCACTGGAAGAAGAATCTGAGTCAAAATGTGTCTCCTAGTTTTCTCCAGCTGTGGGCATGCCAGCCCCATGCCCAGTACAGTGTCTCTCCCTCAGCACTCACTGGCACGGCTGAACTGGCTTGTGCCTGGGGATGACAGTAGAGTTAATGATTTGCCCATACTCTGCCCATCCATGGGAAGGAAAGCAGAAGCTACCTTCCCCCACCTGACACTGGTACATGCAAAACAGGAAAATGGCACAGGGGTGTAAAAAGGATACCATATATCCTTTATGCAGGAACAAAAAAATGGGCTGTAAAATATTAGTGATTTCAAAATTGATTCATGATAAAATAAACACACACAAGCCATTGAAAACTTGACATTTGAGACATTTTTAAATGAAAGCTCTCGGGGCATGTCTACACTAGCCCCCTAGTTCGAACTAGGGTGGTTAATGTAGGCATTCGAAGTTGCAAATGAAGCAAGGGATTTAAATTTCCCGGGCTTTATTTGCATCTTCCTGGCTGGTTGCCATGTTTTGAAACTTACGAGCTTGAACTAACTGCCTGCATAAACACGTGGCAGGGAAATGGGCATTTGAATTAAAGCCCTAAATCGAACTAGCTGTTAAACCTCATTGCAGAAGGAATAACAAGTAGTTCGATTTAGGGCTTTAATTCGAACTACCGGGTCCCTGCCGCGTGTAGAGCCGGGCAGTTAGTCCAGACTTGTAAATTTCAAAAATGGCGACCGGCTGGGAAGATGCAAATCAAGCGCGGGATATTGAAATCCCGGGCTTGATTTGCAACTTGGAATGCCTACATTAGCCTCCCTAGTTTGAACTAGGGGGCTAGTGTAGACATACCCTGAGAGTTTAGTAGCAGGATAGCACTGCAGTGAAGTAGACCAATCAGAACAGGGTGGAGAGGGAGTGATGGAAATCGCCTGAAGGCGATGGGAAGTCACCAGAGGAGGAATCCTCTGTATTGTCTATTACAATCTTGTAAGGACAAGAAGAAGAAAAAAATGACCCCATAATTTCCCCACCCCAAAGTCCAGAGAAGTATTCACCAATGGCATAAAAGAGAAACTGCTTTTATTAATCAACATTGAAATAAAAGAGGAATGAGTGAATCAAATTTCAATTTGCAAAAGCTCTTCTTTTTAAGAAGGGAGGCCCCAATCCCTGGCAGCAGCCGCCAGCCCACCAGCCACGTGGTTCCAATCCCTGGCGGCAGCCGGAACAGCAGCCCCCCCAACGTGGCCTCAGACCTGGCAGCAGCCGGAGCAGCCACCCCGTAATGTGGCCTTGGCCCCGCCCACTCACCTTCCAGATCCAACAGCTCTGCAAAGAAGGTGGACGGGTTTCAAATTTTTTTGCACGGCCATGCAGGCGTACACCTTAGAGGGAACACTAGTGCAGCCCTGTCCTAAAGCTTAGTCAGAATAATACTTCTGTTCTGGAGATCACATGAAGGGATTCTATCTGAAAACACAACTCAATTGAAACCAAGTGTGAGTTAAAACCACACTCAGATTCTTGCTCCAGGACTAAAGTGGTACAGATAATTTCTTTCTAATTCATTCTAGTACTATTTTTTTCCCCAGCTGATCTTCAAAAAAATGTGTTAATGAAATTTCAAGGTCCTGTAACTCTTAGAAATGTGCTTACCTAAAGAAAGCTGTGCATCACACACACACTCAATGAAATAAAAATCTCATCACAAGGCAATTAATGTTGTATCCTGCTGTTTTTGGTTTCAGTCCAAACTCAATAACAGTTTATTTTAGTGATGTCCTGAATGCTGAAATGTGTAATATCTGCCGGTTTATTCTGCTTTCTGCTTAATTCACTGTTTTCATGTACATGTCAAATAGCTTTATAGCACCTTTTTATGGGTGGGGAAGTAAGTTGTATTTTTATTTCTCTATCATATTTAAAAATAAATTAGGTTGCTAAGTGACAACAATGTACTTACTTATCACATCGTTTATAAAAAACATAGCACTCAATGGAGAAAATTAATAGGTAAGAGGATAAATCTAATATTGGTTAAAATGTGCATATAATCTGGGCAAACAAAAGAATGTATTGTCTTCAGAATAATCTTACCTATATAAAATAAAAGTCCAGGATCAGAATATTTTCTTTTTAAGGAAAATGTTCAGCGGATATATTTGTGCATTAGACTTTTTGGGGAAAACTTAAAATTGCTTTTTTTATTGCAGAATAATATTGTATATGCGGTTTCATTAGATAAGTGCATACTATAATTTAGAGTAAACTGATATACCTGAACTAGCATTAGAAATTAATGAACACGGAACATTAATGAGAACATGTATTATTCTGTTTCCTTTTCAGAAGGGCATTGGGCTGTGTTTATATTTTGAGATTACTAATAGAAAAACAGTGTTCATTGGGGTCAGAGTTAAGGTTGTTGTTATGGATGAGTAATTACAATTAAAGCAACAAGCACAAACACACATCCATTTTTTAAATAAAAGGAAATTGTACCTGGTGATGGTGTAAAGATTACTGTAAAATATCACTGTGAAGTTTATCAAAATATGAGTCTGACCATGCTAACAAAGAAACCACTAGGAAACTCCATGGGAAAACAAATCTGTCACTCTCACACATTGTGTGTCTCTGTCATTCTCACAAACACACACTGTCCTTCCCTCTCATCTACTGACCTGACACATGTGGGGGGTTGGTACTACTTTTACGGCTCGCAAAGTGGGTTATATTTAGTGTTTGACTAGTCTGTGTATTTCATAACTCTCATTTCTCTTATGCTTAAGTTTAAATTGTTTGAGTAGTGAGTTCTAACATGCTGAACCTCTCATGACTGAAGTAATTATCCCTGTGATAACTGTGCTCCTGGAAGTGGCTGGCATGTCCCTGCAGCCCGAGAAAATCAGAGCAGGGGTTCTCCACATATTGTCCTTGCCTGTGGACACCACTCCTGTAGCTCCCATTGATCAATAACAGAGCACCACAGCCAGTGGAGCCATGGCTGTACATGCCCGTTGCTTTCAGGAGCAGTGTAGGGCCAGGGCAGGAGTAGCCCTGCCTTAATTCTGTAATCAGAGCAGGGGTTCTCCACATATTGTCCTTGCCTGTGGACACCACTCCTGTAGCTCCCATTGATCAATAACAGAGCACCACAGCCAGTGGAGCCATGGCTGTACATGCCCGTTGCTTTCAGGAGCAGTGTAGGGCCAGGGCAGGAGTAGCCCTGCCTTAATTCTGTTCCCACGGTGGGCAGAGGGGGGGAAAGGACTCAAGCCCCCAACCCTGTGTTCTTCAGACAAATGCCCAAGCTCCTAGAACACACCCCACCTCACTATCTTCAGGTTGTCCCCTCCCACACTCCGAACCCCTTGGCCCAGGACCAGAGCCTGCACCCCAACCCCCACCCCAGCCTGATGAAAATGAATGGGATTTGGGGGTGGAGTGAGCAGGGTGAGGCCTCAGAGAAGGAGTAAAGAGGGCAGGGCCTAAGAGAAGCAGGGGAAGGAAGCCAGGCAAGGATATTTGGGTTTGAGGTAGATCTTACATTGCACTTCAGTTGAAAAAGTGATCTTGTGGTTAAAAAGACTGGAGACCACTGGTATAGACATATATACCACTTTTTCCTATTTCAGTTATCCAAACAAGATCCACGTTAACCTCACACCAAAAGCTCTGAACAACTTCCTTGGAAGTGTATAAACAAAATGGATACCCATTTTGGAATGCTTGGATATAACCTGCATTTAACCTTATTTATTTAGGGGAAGATTTTTAGAGGCATGAAGAACTGGATGGATACTGTTCATCTCTGTGTGAGAGAATCTCCTCAACAGCGTGATAAAATTCACATTCTTATATTTTCTGAGAAACTTTATCCCATCACCAGGCAGTTTTCCCCTTTTCAAAATAGCGTGTTTGGGGCTTGCTACTTACAGAATGTCCAGCTCAGACAATTCCAACTCCCAACTTATCCAGGAAGTCTCCAGCTAGTTAAAAGTGAAGGAAACCAGAGGTGAGCCCTGTCTTGCCCCAGGCAGTCAGTCTAAGCAGAAGTTAACAGAAGGCAAGAGGATTTTTGAAGTATAAAAATATTTAAACAACAACACATCTTACCTAACATATCAATGGGAGCTGCAATGGTTATGACTGATCTGTTGTAATCATAATCAGAAAATATATTAAGTACTGTGGCCTGAGAATGTTTCTGTCCTGTGGGAGAAAAAACAAGAGATTTTAGACTTTTCATGCATGTCAAAAGGCAGATGTTTAAGATATTGATTTGCCAGTCACTTGAGCATGTGCTGAACTTTATGGGGCTTAGGTACATGTTTCAGGTTGAGTTTTTGGAACCCAGATCCTCAAAGGAATTTAGAAACCCCACTGCCTTTGCATGTAGGCCTAAGTGTTTTGCTTAACAATCACAGACATAAACATGTCCTTATATACATAGACTCATAGAATCGTAGGGCTGGAAGAGACCTCAGGAGGTAATTGAGTCCAACCCCCTGCCCAAAACAGGACCAACCTTAACTAAATCATCCCAGCCAGGGCTTTGTCAAGCCGGGACTTAAAAACCTCTAGGGATGGAGATTCCACCACCTCCCTAGGTAACCCATTCCGGTGCTTCACCACCCTCCTAGTGAAATAGTTTTTCCTAATATCCAACCTAGACCTCCCCCACTGTAACTTGAGACCATTGCTTCTTGTTCTGCCATCTGTCACTACTGTGAACAGCCTCTCTCCATCCTCTTTGGAACCCCCCTTTGGGAAGTTAAACGCTGCTATCAAATCCCCTTCCTCCCTTCTCTTCTTCAAACTAAATAAACCCAAATCCCTCAGCTTCTCCTTGTAGGTCATGTGCTCCAGCCCTCTAATCATTTTGGTTGCCCTCCGCTGGCCCCTCTCCAATGCGTCCTCATTTTTTCTATACTGGGGGGCCTAGAATTGGATGTAATAGTCTAGATGTGGCCTCACCAGTGCCGAATAAAGGGGAATAATCACTTTGATACTTTGATTAATAGGGGCCTAAAATATTGTGTCTCTTTATTTAGAGTATTCATGATGTGTATTGAAGCCTTCAGGAATTCCAATCTACAAATAAAGAGGTTGTGTACATAGTCCATTGACTTCAACAGGACTGCTTGTATGAATTAGGAGGAATGAGTTTCCCAGGCCTGTTTCTGCAATTCCCTCCATGCTTTCACTGAACACTTCCTCACTGACATCAAGTGCATGCTGTACCTCTGGGCCCGTGTTCTATGGCTATACTGCAGCTGAATACACTATTGCCTTAACCCCCGCCCTGAAACCTGCACTACCACAGATCTCTGCGTCTGCCCAGAGTCCCACTGAGCTCACTCTGTGCCAGATAACTGTTTGCAGGATTAGGACCTTATTTTGTGCAGTAACTCAAAACAAACTATATCCCAACACACTTTTGAGAATTAAAGGCTACAGCAGACAGGATCCTGGTAATAATTACTGAAAAACATGATGCAAAGATAGGGAAGGAGGCCAAATGTCGACCTCGTTTTTGTGGTTGCAATTCTCATCAAAGCTATTGGGGGCTGCATATGTGCATGGGAAGGCAGCATTTGGCCCTATGGTAAATAAATTATAACCTTCAGAAAAAAGGCCAAAGTCAGAGGGATAGTGAGATAAACTGAAGTACAACTATTTTATGAGTCATATCCACATTACCACTGCCAGACAAACCACAGAGTACCAAAGTGTACTATGAATTAAGCATCAGCCTAGAATTTTAGCCTAAAGAGCCTGATTAAAAACCCAATGAGAACAATGGGAATCCTTCAGAATAGCTTTAACTTAATTTCCTATTGAGTTATGTTGGTTTATATCAGTCACCCTGAAGCTATTTCACACACTTTTTGTTGTTTAACTTAAAAAATTACAAAAACGCACACAAAAAATCTCTTTTCTTAACACTTAAATACAGTAAATTTCTTATCCTCTCAGGTGCTTTTTTTCCTATGATGAAAGAAAATCAGAAATGAGAGCGCATACCCTACTATTTTAGTAGTTTTGAAAATACCTCCTCTTAGGAAAAAAACATGAATTTATTTTTCAATCTGAAAAGCTTTTAGTCTCATTTTCATCCTATTCAACTAAGTAAATTCCTGAAAGAATAAAACATTCGTTCTTGAATGTCCATATATATAGGAAAAAAAAGATGACTGGCAAGCAGAGCTGTCAGCATGAATTTCAGCAGAAGTAAACTGTTTGATATACAGAGTAATGGAGTATAATAGCTGCAATTCCATTTGAAATGTTGTCACTAATAAGCTCAATAAAACTATGTGTCAAGACTTAGCTATCCATCAAGGGTTTGGCTGCCACATATTTCTTTGTACACCCGCTTAATCACAGAGACAGGTAACTTTAAGTGTTGCTGTTTCTGAAAATAATGAGCCAGAACTGGAATTTTCTCTGCGTTATCAGCAAAAATACTAAAGCTGCATATCAACATGAAAGGAGTTTTCTTCAGCATTTAACAGGTGTTTTCACAGATACTCCAATCTTCAGCCAAAATACAAACTAGTATTTAAATGCACAGAGATCAGAAAACAGTTTGAAAGAGAATACAAAAAAAATGGTTAAAAATAAACGCAATGGAGTGGCGTGATTAAATATGCATATGCTTATATGTAAATTATTTGGGACAAAGTGCTATCTTTTTAAAAGTCTTTGAAAAGTGCCATGCTGTGTTCTGGCTACCATCTAAACATGTAATAATTAAGAATTAATATACATTGGTTACTTACCTGTAGGAGGAATGTTATCATAGGACATCCAAACAATAGTTAGGTAACAACCAAACTGCTTTACTTGAAATGGTTTGATGATAACAAATACATATAACAACATATGCATTTTCTCAGACCAAGAAAATTAAACCACATTTCTCAAATTCTGAATTGTTTGCTCATATTCCCAACAAAAGCAACTGATTAGCAAAGAAGCTTTGAAACGTAGCAGATTCCAGAGAAAGTTCTCTGGCTGCACTAAAGCTTACTGTCTCAATGGCACACATTGTTCAAACAAACTATGGATGCATCTCCTTTTAAGGGAGAAATTCACCTCTCTGCATTCAGCCAGCACAACAACTATGAACTACACAAACCCTAATTTGAGGCTTTACATGGGACTTACCTGGTGCACAGGCCTTGGGCTGCCTCTGCAGAGGGATGAATTTACCAAATATGCATATCTATATTAGTGCTAGTCAACCAAGTATTCCTGCCCAAAATCATAGTGTCAGATGCCCCCTAAGATACATAGGCAGACTTCTGCAAGGTCCAGATGCCTCTGGGCTCCTCCTTTCCCTGCCCCCAGTGGTGCCACAGCGTACTGCATCCTATTTTCTCTCTGCTACCTGCAAGAACAGCACTGCTTGTAGTAGCGGGCTGTGAGTGGAACGTCTTTGCCAGGCTCACCAGAAAAGTTAGGGGGTGAGAAGAGAGACCTGAAGGAAAGAGGGACGCAGGGAGGAACAAAGAATAAAATAAAGTGCAAAGCAAACCAAAAATTAATATACAAAATAACACAGAAAGGAGGAACAAGATAAAAAAGGGGAGTAGAGAATGCATGGGAGAGAATGGACAAAAGGTGAGACTGTGCATCCCTTCCCCCTAAGGGTACTACTAAGTGGACTCCAAACACCAGTCTTGGGGAGAAAGGATGGTGATGAAGCAAAGCCCTGAAGATATATTTAGGACTCTGCCGCTCTTACCGTTCTCATCATAAATAGCACTTTTAGCTATTTTCTCAACAATATCTTTTTTTCTGGCCTCTGAAATGTTTAGTAAACAGGCAGCCAAACGAAAGCTCACTTTGGTGGAAGCCATTTTCATTCTCTGAAACAGAAGCATAATACAATATTTTTTTATCTCTCAACCTTATGCTTTCACTCATTTGTGTTTTCATTTCTGGTTTTCTTTTTTAACCCATATACTTAAAAAAAGACAATTATTTGGTAACTAAGCAACCAATGCTGCATAAATTTTCACCTCACCATCTTCTTATCACAAAGAAGAATGAAATCTTGAGCTTTATTGGAGAAGCCATCACATGTTGCAATAACACACAGGAGGGATGTGAACGACTAGTCGACTAGTTGCTTCCCCCCCTTGCTGCCTCTATCAGAAAGAGGCAGCAGGGAGGGAGATGAGGGGGTGCTTCAAAGTGGCAGCGCCATGTAGAGCTCGGGGTCTGCTGCTTTGAAACGTTGTGTGCAGCTGGCCTGGGCTGCATGTGTCGTTTCAAAGTGGCTGCACCATGTGGAGCCCAGAGTCAGCTGGGGACTCTGCTGCTGATCCCAGGCTCCATGCGGCGCTGCTGCGTTGAAACACCATTTGGAGCCTAACGCCGAGCTCCCCACGGCGTTTCACAGCAGCAGTGCCACAAGGAGCTTGGGGTCAGCAGAATCCCCAGCTGACCCTGGGCTCCACATGGCGCTGCCACTTTGACATTCCATGGGGAGCATGGAGACAGCGGGGGACCACTTGAATCTCCTGCTGGCCCCATGCTTCCCACAGCGCTTTCACCCTAAGGCTATTGCTACACTTCAAAGGCAGAGGCGCCCTTATCAACTAATCGAATAGTCGATGCAAATTGCATCAACTACTCAGCCAATTCATCTAACTGGAACATCCCTAACACACAGACATCATCTGTTTAGCATCAAACTCAGAACAATCATTCAAGCTATTAAAAACTGGACTATGCTTTTAAGTGCCGGTGGGAATGAGGAGTGTGCCAGGTTATCTCAAGGATATTTTACAAGCTCATTCTCACTTTATTGGCATTAGCTCTTACACTCTACTAACCAGTCTGGGTACAAAATGTTGGAGAAAGCCTAGTGAGTTACAGAAGTTAACAATCCATTGCTTTATCATAAATGAATACATATCAAACCTGTCAGTGTCTACTATAGATGGATTAGTATTTAAATATCTGTTAGAATGAACAGAGGTCTAAGGATTTTATTCTACTGAGTAGAATGACCTTCACATTTAGTTGTGAAGCACTGCATGTAGTTAGACAGCTACCACTTTCTATAGCAGAGGAGGCTTCATTTCAGTGGCAGGTGCAGTGATAGATAGATAGATAGATAGATAGATTAGATTAGATTAGATTAGATTAGATTAGATTAGAGAGAGTTTGTGCGTCTGTCCATCTGTGACTGTTTGTTCAAGAACTTTTCCTAAACACTAAGGCTACGTCTACACTGCCCAGTCTTGTGCAAGAACATATGCAAATGAGGAGCGGCAATGAATATCGCCACACCTCATTTGCATATGTTCTTGCGCAAGACTGGACAGTGTAGATGTAGCCTAAGAGCTAAGACCACCAAATTTGGTATGCAGTTTCCTCTTATCATAACTTAAAACAAGGTACGTGTTTGGTTGTTCCAGGACAATGGGATGTGCCTGGAATGCAATTCTAACACAAAACAGAGGGGTCTGCTAGGAGGGACAGTTACACCATGAAGCAGCAAAGGGACAGAGATGGAGACTGGGACAGCTATAACCCCACTGCGGCAGCAGGGGAGAGCGGTTGTGAAACAAATAGCTATCAACAATATATTTGAGAGAGATTGTTTGGGTATCTGTCTATCCCCCAGCCAGGGAACATGCACCCCTCTCCTGGCTGCATTTGCTGCAGCGGCCTTAGACAGGGGCTTCTCACCTGGCCCCAAGCTGTAAGCTGCTGCAGTGAGAGCGGGCTAGGGTTGTCCTCTTTTCCCAGGGTGGCCTGCATCCTGAACTTCTCACCCTCACCCCAGAGCAGGCATGTCCAAAGTCCGGTCCGCGGGACATGATTTTAGGGAAAGCCTGGTGTGAACAAGGTCAAAGAGAAAGTGATAAAGCTCTGTGGTGGGGAAGTATTGTGCACTTGGGCATATAAGGAATCAATGAAGTAAGAAACAATGGATCTGATCTTCCCGTCTGCTCAAGTTGTATTTGGTGTGGGAGTCACAGGTCAAAGGTGGCAGTGTGTCACCTTTCTACTCCCTGGGTCCCTGGAACGTACACTGGTCATGAGTATAACTTGCCTAAGAAGTACTTTAACTTGCATCAGCAGCTGATGACTCCCTGAAGAGTTATTTTATCAGCCAAGGAATGCTGGAGCCCAGAAATGCTGGAGCCTTTCTGCCTCCCTTCCCAATTTGGCTGTGTGGGGAAGCACAGTACCAGCTCCTGAAAATCAGTCCTATTACAAAGCTCTTAGTGGTGTTCTCTAAATTACTGTGTTAAACTTAGAAGAAAAGAACTAGTTGGTCTGTTTCACCAGTCTTAGAAGGCTAAGATCTTACTTTATAAAGCTATAATAATCAGATATCTGGTATGATAAACATATGATTCAAACACAAAGAATAGTCAAACAGCACTGCACAGCACCATCTTGTGGTAATAGTTCATCTTTTTCTTCTAAGTTTGAGGTTTCCATTTTAATTTGGTACATCAAAGAATTTTCACATTAAGAAATTGTGATGGTTCTGAGGAAAATTTTAAAATGAAGAGATATCCACAATATATACACTGTAAATCTCAAAACAGAAAAGGAACAGGATTGGGTTAAAAGTGTTTTTATAAAGCTGTTTTTATAGCAACTTAGACCACAATTGATTTTTATATCTATATATAAATACAAATATTTTCTATTATTTACAGTTTGTTTACTTCTCATTTCATTGAACACAGCCATTATCAGTTTTGTTTTGTTTTTTTCTTTCTAAATCATATTTCTGACCCAGAAAGACTGAAAGTTCTTAAAGGTATTATATTGCTCCTGTACTCACAATTAAAATAATTCTGTCTATACTAGAGGTCTCTAATCTTTTTAACCACAAGATCATTTTTTCAATTGTAAGATCTACCTCAAACCCAAATACCCTAGCCCGGCTTCCTTCCCCCACATTCTCTGAGGCCCCATCCCCTGCTCCACCCCTTCTCTGAGGTCTCACCCTGCTCACTCCATCCCCCTTCCTCTTCAAATCTCATTCCCTTTCACCAGGCTGGGGTAGGGGGTTGGGGTGCAAGCTTTGGTCTTGGGCTAAGGGGTTCGGAGTGTGGGAAGGGACACCCTGAAGGTAGGAGGTGGGGTAGGTTCTGGTGTGGTCTAGGGGATAAGGCATCAGTGTCTGGAGCACAGGGTGGTGGACCCAAGTCCCCGCTGGCCCCCACTCCACCCCTTCAGGCAGCAGCTTGGCAGCCAACACCAGTTGCCCCATGGATGGAGCTGGCACCCGCATTAGGAAGGCAAAATAAGGGATGCCCTGAAGGTGAGGCAGTGGGCTGGGTTCTAGAGTGGCTTAGGGGATAGGCCATTCGCCTATCCCCTAAGCGCTGGGTGGTGGGCTCGAATCCTTGTCAGCAGCTGGACAGCCAACACAGGCTGTCCCAAGGATTGAGCTGCCTCCCATATCAGGAAGGCAGGACAAGGGGCACCCTGAAAGTAGGGTGGTAGGGTGGGTTCTTGAGTGGACTAGGGGATTTGTCTGGGGAGTGCAGGGTGGTGGGTTTGAGCCCAACCCACTGTGGAAGAGCAGTCGGATAGCTAACAGAGGCTGCCCCAGGAAAGGATCTGGTTCCTGTATCAGGAAGGCAGGATAAGGGACCCTCTGAAGATAGGGAGGTGGGGTGGGTTCTGCAGTGGACTAGGTGATACAGCATTTGCCTAGGGAGCACAGGGTGGTGGGCTTAAGTCCTGCCCACCCTAGGACAGGCCCAGACAGCCAACACAGGCTGCCCCAGGGATGGAGCTGGCTCTTGCATTAGGAAATCAGGAGAAGGGTCCCTCTGACCCATGTATGTGTTGGGTCAGGAGATGAGAGGGAAGGACAGTGTGTGTTTGTGAGAATGACAGGGACACACACACAGCGAGGGAGGGTATGTCTACACTTGCCCCCTACTTCGGATGAGGGAGGCAAATGAAGCATACCAAAGTTGCAAATCAAGCGTGGGATTTAAATATCCTGCGCTTGATTAGCATAATCGCGGCCGGTCGCCATTTTAAAATGCCGGTCATGCAATGAGGAGTACCAGTTAATTCGACAGAAGACTTTTAAATCGTTTAAATATCCTGCGCTTGATTAGCATAATCGCGGCCGGTCGCCATTTTAAAATGCCGGTCATGCAATGAGGAGTACCAGTTAATTCCACAGAAGAGTTTTAAATCGGACTACCGCGTCTATGCGGCGAGTTACATCAGGCAACCGGCATTTTAAAATGGCGACCGGATGCGATTATGCTAATCAAGGGCAGGATATTTAAATCCCACGCTTGATTTGCAACTTCGGTATGCTTCATTTGCCTCCCTCGTCCGAAATAGGAGGCGAATGTAGACATACCCTGAGAGTGACAGAGATTTGCATTCCCGAGCTCCCTCCATCCCCTTCTCTCTGTGTGGAGACAGGGTACAGGAGTGGAAGGAGTGCCCGTCCCATGCCCTGCACAGCAAGCAGGAGGCTCCCAAAGGGCAGTCCCAAGGCAGAGGGCAGGAGCAGCATGACAGTGGGTAGAGGAGCAGCTGAAGGGCCAGGGCTTGATAGCTTCCTGGCCAAACCAGTCAGGATCCCCTGTCAGAGGCTCCAAGATCTACCGGTAGATCCCAATCTACTGGTTGGCAACCACTGATCTATAGAAGAAGTGAGAAGCAGCTCTTAAAAGGGGGGGCAGGAAACATGCAAATAGAGTTAGAACTATCTAAAGTGAGAAACTTGCATTAGTATCTGATGGGCTCCCAAAGAATTATTATTTTATCAGCAAAGGAATGTTTTGTGAACAGAGATGCTAAAGGATTGCCTCCTTTGAAGGGAAGAGGCAAGTCTATAGCACGTCTATGCTCTAGCAAACTCTGGCTTGAAACCCTAAACGTTGCCTTACCTAATTTATCTATGTTTGAGGAAGTGTCATTCCTTGATTGGTGCTTAACTTTCTCTTTTTACAGTAAAGAGTACAGTATGGTACATTTTCTTTTCTAGAATGCAACTACTTTGTATTTAGTTTAAGTGTTTTTAAAATATTCCTCCCAGTGTAGTAACACCGTCAGTTACCATATAAGTTATCTTTCATTTTCTGTCATATATTGAGGGATTGCATGCAGCTACAGCAAAGGTGGAATCACTTATGCCTAAAAATCAGTTCACACTTTTTAATGGGGAATAATTATCACTCAGATCCAAATGATGGACCAAATTGTGCCATCAGTTTTTAAGCAGAGCTCCCCATTGAAATGAACAGAGATTCACAGTATGGTCCAATGGGATTAAGCTGTCTAGTTTTTCTACTTCAGCAATATTTTCAATATACTATGTCTGCACCCTGCAAATTTTCAGAAGAGACTGGAGTCATCTTGAGTATTGTTGCTGTCTTTCTCTCCTCATGTACTTCTTTCTCTTTCCACAATGGCTGTGTCTAGACTGGCCAGTTTTTCTGGAAAATCAGCTGCTTTTCCGGAAAAACTGGCCAGCTGTCTACACTGGCTGCTTGAATTTCCGCAAAAGCACTGACGATCTCATGTAAGATTGTCAGTGTTTTTGCGGAAATACTGTGCTACTCCCGTTTGGGCAAAAGTCCTTTTGCGCAAAACTTTTGCGCAAAAGGGCCAGTGTAGAAAGCCCAGATTTGTTTTCAGTAAAAAAGCCCCGGTCGCGAAAATGGTGATCGGGGCTTTTTTGCGGAAAAGCGCGTCTAGATTGGCACGGACACTTTTCCGCAAACAGTGCTTTTGCGGAAAAGCGTCCGTGCCAATCTAGACGCTCTGTTACGAAAATGCTTTTAACGGAAAACTTTTCCATTAAAAGCATTTCCGGAAAATCATGCCAGTCTAGACGTAGCCAATAAGTATAACTGTCTTCTTCTAGGAGATGCATACCATCATAATTTTATATATAACAAATCCTTACTATTTTAGTGTTTAATATTACAATATTATATATTAAAAGTGAAAACAGCAAGGATCCTCTTCAAAAGCTTAAGTGTAATAGCCAGGATCAATTAAGATATTACTCCATACTTGGATTCTCTGATCCCATCAAGATGAAAAGGACAATATGTGACTGAAAAATGTTCTAATGATAGCTGGTTTTAAACAATTTTTCAACACTCTTGGTGCTTCATGTAATAGGTCAGGACAATGATGTAGTAAATTCAGGATTCAATGTGGCGTCCAGACAGGTCTTCTGCTTCGTTGGTGATTATAAACGTTCAGCTGCGTGAACACTACCTGAAGATCCCTCCCCGATGTCAGGCCTGGGAGACATTCAGGCTCACGGGAACTGGCTTCAAGGAGAGCATGATGGTGACCATGTCGTCTGCCTTCTCCTCCTCCTGCTGCTGTCCCTGGTTCTCCTCCTTCTCCACCATGACCTTCGGCTGGGCGACGACAAGCATGTCAAGGCCAGAGTCCACCAGGACAGGTGGGAAAATGGCTTCCCCACCCCCCAGGATGCTGGTAGTAGGGGCAGGTGTGGGGTCCTGCCTGGAGCACAAGCTGCGCTCTCTAGCCCTCGCGTATCCCTGGTGGAGCTCTTTCATCTTATTCCGGACCTATTCCAAGGTCTGGGGTGGGTGTCCACGCTCCGCCAGGGACTCAGCCATGTGCCCAAAAATGTGTGCATACTGGTGCTTGGAGCGGGGATCCTGTAGTATCTCCTCCTCGCCCCATAGCTCAAGAAGGGACAGGATCTCTGCTCCAGACCAGATGGGTGCCGGCTTCTTGGTCCTCCATGGTGGGGCCTGGGAGCCCTGCTTGTGCTCCCTTTGAGGGCCAGGAGGATCTCAGGGGCGAGGGGGGAGGGAGCTTTTGACTCAGCCATTGCTGACAGCCTGGGGTAGCAGGGAGAGCTGCGCAGTCAGGTGCTGCTCCAAGGCCGGCTTCCTGCCACAAGGCTTGTCCAGCTTTAAGAGGTGCAAGGGAACAGGCACTATAGAGTTGTGCTGACTTAGGATGAAGTGGCCACAAG